CCTTCACTCAGTCAATCCTTCACTCAGTCAATCCTTCACTCAGTCAATCCTTCACATAGTCACTCCTTCACTCAATACTTCACACAGTCAATCCTTCACACAGTCACTCCTTCACACAGTCACTCCTTCACACCGTGCTCCTTCCTCAATACTTTGCAATTAATCCTTCACACAGTCACTCCTTCACGCGATCCTCCTTTGCAGTCAATCTACCTTCACAGTCCTCCTCAATCCTTCACTCAGTCAATCCTTCACAGTCCGCTCCCTTCTTTAGTCACTCCTTCACACAGTCAATCCTTCCATGATACTCCTTCCTCAATCCTTCACACAGTCAATCCTTCCCCATTCTCCTTCCACACAGTGCTCTTTCACACAGTCACTCCTTCACTCCAATCCTTCACACAGTCACTCCTTCCTCAATCCTTCACACACAGTCCTCCTTCCACACAGGTACTCTTCCACACAGTCGCTCCTTCACTCAATCCTTCCTCAATCCTTCACTCAGTCAATCCTTCACACAGTCCTCCTTCACACAGTCACTCTTTCACTGATCACTCTTTCACACAGTCGCTCCTTCTTCAATCCTTCCTCATTCAATCCTTCACACAGTCCTCCTTCACACAGTCCCTTCCTTCACAGTCAATCTTCACCAAGTCACTCCTTCCTCAATCCTTCACACAGTCAATCCTTCCACACAGTCACTCCCTTCACACAGTCCTCCTTCACATAGTCCTCCTTTACCGTCCTCCTTCACTCAGTCACTCATTCCTCAAATTAGCCCCCCACAGTCCTCCTTCACACAGTCTTTCTTTCACACGGTCGCTCCTTCCTCAATCCTTCCACAGTCACTCCTTCACTCAATCCTTCACAGTCGCTCCTTCGCAATCCTTCCACACAGTCGCTCCTTCCTCAATCCTTCACAGTCCTCCCCTTCTGCTCAGTCCTCTTTCCACACAGTCGCTCCTTATAAATCTTCACACAGTCACTCTTTCACACAGTCGCTCCTTCACTCAATCCTTCACACAGTTACTCCTTCACACAGTCACTCTTTCACACAGTCACTCCTTCACCCAATCCTTCACATAGTCACTCCTTCACCCAATCCTTCACTCAATTAATCCTTCACTCAGTCACTCTTTCACATAGTCAATCCTTCACTCAGTCAATCCTTCACTCAGTCAATCCTTCACTCAGTCAATCCTTCACTCAGTCAATCCTTCACTCAGTCACTCTTTCACATAGTCACTCCTTCACCCAATCCTTCGTACAGTCACTCCTTCACTCAATCACTCAATCACTCCTTCACTCAGTCAATCCTTCACTCAATCACTCCTTCACACAGTCACTCCTTCACCCAATCCTTCACACAGTCACTCCTTCACTCAATCACTCCTTCACTCAATCACTCCTTCACGTAGTCCTCCTTTGCTCAGTCAATCCTTCCTCAGTCCATCCTTCACTCAATTAATCCTTCACTCAGTCAATGTTACTCAGTCACTTCCTTGCTCAGAGCCTCCTTCACACAATCACTCCTTTACTCAATCTTTCCTTTACCTGAGTACTCCTTCCTCCAATCCTCCTTCACTCCAATCACTCCTTCACTCCAATCACTCCTTCACATAGTCCTCCTTCCTCCAATCCTTTGCTCATCAATCCTTCACTCAGTCAATCCTTCACTCAGTCAATCCTTCACTCAGTCACTCCTTCACCCAGTCAATCCTTCACTCAGTCAATCCTTCACTCAGTCAATCCTTCACTCAGTCAATCCTTCCCTCAGTCAATCCTTCACACAATCACTCCTTCACTCAGTCAATCCTTCACTCAGTCAATCCTTCACTCAGTCAATCCTTCACTCAGTCAATCCTTCACTCAGTCAATCCTTCACTCAGTCAATCCTTCACACAATCACTCCTTCACTCAGTCAATCCTTCACTCAGTCAATCCTTCACTCAGTCAATCCTTCACTCAGTCAATCCTTCACTCAGTCACTCCTTCACTCCGTCGTTCAGTTACTCAAGACACATCCGTTTAACATTTCCTGTACACAAGGCGACAGCTCCTTTGATGTTCACGCGTCTTCAATTCCTCGTATTTCCTCCTACCGTGTTGACGCTTCCATGGCTGTTGTGTTGAGGCTTCCATGGCTGCTGTGTTGAGGCTTCCATGGCTGCTGTGTTGAGGCTTCCATGGCTGCTGTATGGAGGGTTCCATGGCTGCTGTGTTGAGGCTTCCATGGCTGCTGTGTTGAGGCTTCCATGGCTGTTGTGTTGAGGCTTCCATGGCTGCTGTGTTGACCTTCCATGGCTGCTGTGTTGAGCTTCCATGGCTGTGTGTTGAGGCTTCCATGGCTGCTGTGTTGAGGCTTCCATGGCTGCTGTGTTGAGGCTTCTAGGCTACTGTGTTGACGCCCATGCTGTTGTGTTGAGGCTTCCATGGCTGCTGTGTTGACGCTTCCATGGCTGTTGTGTTGACGCTTCCATGGCTGATGTGTTGAGGCTCCATGGCTGCTGTGTTGAGGCTTCCATGGCTGCTGTGTTGAGGCTTCCATGGCTGCTGTGTTGAGGCTTCCATGGCTGCTGTGTTGAGGCTTCCATGGCTGCTGTGTGTTGACGCCTCCATGGCTGATGTGTGTTGAGGCTTCCATGGCTGCTGTGTTGAGGCTTCCATGGCTGCTGTGTTGAGGCTTCCATGGCTGCTGTGTTGAGGCTTCCATGGCTGCTATGTTGACCTTCCATGGCTGCTGTGTTGAGGCTTCCATGGCTGCTGTGTTGAGGCTTCCATGGTTGCTATGTTGAGGCTTCCATGGCTGCTGTGTTGGAGCTTCCATCTGCTGCTGTGTTGAGGCTTCCATGGCTGCTGTGTTGAGGCTTCCATGGCTGTGTTGAGGCTTCCATGGCTGATGTGTTGAGGCTTCCATGGCTGCTGTGTTGAGGCTTCCATGGGGCTGTGTTGAGGCTCCATGGCTGCTGTGTTGAGGCTTCCATAGCTGCTGTGTTGAGGCTTCCATGGCTGCTATGTTGAGGCTTCCATGGCTACTGTGTTAAGGCTTCCATGGCTGCTGTGTTGAGGTCTCCATGGCTACTGTAGTCTAGGCTCCCATAGCTGCTGTGCTGGAGGCTTCCATAGCTGCCAGTTGAGGCTTCCATGGCTGCTCTGTTATGCTTCCATGGCTGCTGTGTTGAGGCTTCCATGGCTGCTGTGTTGAGGCTTCCATGGCTGCTGTGTTGGAGCTTCCATGGCTGCTGTGTTGAGGCTTCCATAGCTGCTGTGTTGAGGCTTCCATGGCTGCTATGTTGAGGCTTCCATGGCTGCTGTGTTGAGCCTTCCATGGCTGCTATGTAGGGCTTCCATGGCTGCTGTGTTGAGGCTTCCATGGCTGCTGTTGAGGCTTCCATGGCTGCTGTGTTGAGGCTCCATGGCTGCTTTGTTGAGGCTTCCATGGCTGCTGTGTTGAGGCTCCATGGCTGCTGTGTTGAGGCTTCCATGGTTGTGTGTCGCCTCCATGGCTGCTGTGTTGAGGCTTCCATGGCTGCTGTGTTGGCCTTCCATGGCTGCTGCGTTGAGTGCTTCCATGGCTGCTGCGTTGAGGCTTCCATGGTTGCTGTGTTGAGGCTTCCATGGCTGCTGTGTTGAGGCTTCCATGGCTGCTGTGTTGAGGCTTCATGCTGCTGTGTTGAGGCTTCCATGGCTGCTGTGTTGAGGCTTCCATGGCTTTGTTGAGGTTCCATGGCTGCTATGTTGAGGCTCCCATGGTTGCTGTGTTGAGGCTTCCATGGCTGCGAGGCTTCCATGGCTGCTGTGTTGAGGCTTCCATGGCTGCTGTGTTGACGCTTCCATGGCTGCTGTGTTGAGGCTTCCATGGCTGCTGTGTTGACGCTTCCATGGCTGCTGTGTGGAGGCTTCCATGGCTGCGTTGTTGAGGCTTCCATGGTTGCTGTGTTGACGCTTCCATGGCTGCTGTGTTGAGGTCATGGCTGCTGTGTTGAGGCTTCCAGCTGCTGTGTTGAGGCTTCCATGGCTGCTGTGCTGAGGCTTCCATGGCTGCTGTGTTGATGCTTCCATGGCTGCAGTGTTGAGGCTTCCATGGCTGCTGTGTTGACCTTCCATGGTTGCTGTGTTGACGCTTCCATGGCTGCGTGTTGACGCTTCCATGGTTGCTGTGTTGAGGCTTCCATGGCTGCTGTGTTGACGCTTCCATGGTTGCTGTGTTGAGGCTTCCAGGAACCCTCTGACTGGACAACCTTGTTGAACATACTCTCTGATTGGCTAACTCCATAATTTCTCTCTGTTTTAAGGTCTGTCAGGTTTATTATATACTGGGTGTGTGTGTGTGTGTGTGTGTGTGTGTGTGTGTGTGTGTGTGTGTGTGTGTGTGTGTGTGTGTGTGTGTGTGTGCTGAATCTACCTGTTCACGTTGGTTCGCTATACACGGCTACAGCTTTGAAGATAGAGAGCTGAAATTTGTTATGACGGTGTGTTTGTGTTTCTGAAGTGTCCCGAAGGTGGAATTTTGGAAGGCTGGTGAGATGGGGAGAGGCTGATGAGGGAGGTGGGGGGCTGGTTAGGGGAGAGGCTGGTGAGGAGGAGGGGGAGGGAAGTCCATACAGTTACAGTACAATAACATTTCCATCACCGACCTGCTAGACGTAGGCTTATCCCACCTTTACTAGTACATTCGTAACTCAAAATAAATAAATAAATAAATAAATAAACACCCTCCTATTCCATGATTTTTAAACGCCATTATAAGTTAAAACAGATAAATAACACTAAAAAAATTATGAAAGACAAAGAGTTATCGTACAGGCAACTCAAAATGGACGTCTGTGGTTGTCAGTCACGTGATGTTGATAGTTAACAGCGGTACTCCAGCAGACGATTAGCTCTCTCTCTCTCTCAACACTGTAGCCAGGGTAAGATACATTTGTAGCCCGGGTAACTCTAGGCCCTAGTAACACTGTGTGGCCCTAGTAACACTGTGTGGCCCTAGTAACACTCACCTGTGGCCTGGGTAACACCACAGTGGCACAAGAGGAGGCCAAGTAGCCAGCGGGTGACGCCCATAATGTTGGCCACCCATCACACGCCTGGGGAGGGAGGTTAGTTATTATTATTAATTATTATTATTATTATTATTATTATTATTATTATTTATTATTATTATTATTATTGTTATTATTATTATATTATTATTATTATTATTATTATTATTATTATTATTATTATTATTATTATTATTGTTGTTGTTGTTGTTGTTGTTGTTGTTGTTGTTACTCTTATTATTATTATTATTATTATTATATTATTATTACACATCAAAAACACATTTCCTCTGCACTAAACATCACATCATAAACAGTAAGAAATATAGAAGGTCTAAGGCCCATCAAGACTGGGGCCTGTTTGGACTGGGCCCCAGTCTCCATAGCCCCTGTGACCTGAGGTGTTATATAGCATTAATACATGTAAACATTATATACATTGTAAACATTATTATATTCCTTTATAATTTTAAAGATTTAGTGTCAATAGTATAGGCATACAGGTACAGGTAACCAAGGTCGTCTGTCTGTCTGTCAGTAATCATAGGTTTGTCTGTCTGTCTGTCAGTAATCGAGAGGTGTCTGTCTGTCTGTCTGTCTGTCTGTCTGTCTGTCAGTAATCATGAAGTGTCGCTCCCGTTCGTCAGTAATCATGAGGTGTCTGTCTGTCTGTCTGTCTGTCAGTAATCAGAGGTGCTCCTCGTCTGTCTGTCAGTAATCATGAAGTGTCTGTCTGTCTGTCTGTCTGTCTGTCTGTCAGTAATCGCGAAGTGTCTGTCTGTCTGTCTGTCTGTCTGTCTCTGCTGCGTAATGATGAGGGTCTGTCTGTCCGTCTCTCTGTCAGTAATCATGAGGTGTCTGTCTGTCTGTCTGTCTATCTGTCTGTCAGTCAGTAATCATGAGGTGTCTGTCTGTCTGTCTGTCAGTAATCATGAAGTGTCCGTTCATTGTCTGTCTGTCTAGTATCAGTAATGATGAGGTGTCTGCCTGTCGTATAATCAACTCATCCAGCACCTGAGCTTCACCAACCATATGGTGATGGCGTGTACGGTCGTGATGTGCCTGTATTAAGATGAGTAGGCCCCTTTGGTGTAAAGAGAGAGAGAGAGAGAGAGAGAGAGAGGTCTTTGTCACGTAACTCCCTATACAAGAGGTCAGTCAGGGTTTATATTTTCAACGATATTATTTCTGGAATGTGTGTGTGTGTGTGTGTGTGTGGTGAGGGGGTTACGTATGCATGTGTGTAGGTAGGTGTTATGTGTCTGTGTGTGTGTGCATATATACATGTGTATGTGCGTGTGTTTACGTTCTAGAGCTGGGTTAAGTATGCATGTACACGCGCCTGATGCTAGCTCACAGCCTCAGGTTAAGCCACACTTAACACTGTGTATGTGTGTGTGTGTGTGTGTGTGTGTGTGTGTGTTACCACCAGCGCCATAAAAGCATAATTCCCTCCGTCTGGACCACAAAGTTTGGTCCAAAAGGTCTTAAATATACTTTACATTTACAAGTAAGCGAATTCTGGTATTCCGCGCCACGGCCGAGGTTTGTGTGTGTGTTGGGAAAGGTGTTTGTTTGTTTGTTTGTTTGTTTGTTGGTGAAGAGGTTTTGTGTGTGTGTTTGTTGGGAGAGGTGTTTGTGTGTGTGTGTGTGTGGTTCTTACCCTTCACACTCCCTCCCTCCCTCACTCACCACCACTCTCCCTCACCTCACCACCACTTTCCCTCACTGTCACATCACTTTCCTCACTGTCACCACCACTTCCTCACTCACCACCACTTTCCCTCACTGTCACCACCACTTTCCCTCACTCACCACCACTCTCACCACCACTCCTCCCTCACCTCACCATCACTTTCCCTCACTCTCACCACCACTCCTCCCTCACTCACCACCACTCTCCCTCACTCTCACCATCACTCCCTCTCCCCTCACTCACCACCACCACTCTCCTCACCTCACCATCACTCTCCCTCACTCTCACCACCACTTTCCCCTCACCACCACCACTCTCCCTCACTCACCACCACTTCCCTACTCTCACCACCACTCTCCCCTCACTCTCACCATCACTTTCCCCTCACTCTCACCACCACTCTCCCTCACTCTCACCATCACTCTCCCTCACTCTCACCACCACTTTCCCCTCACTCTCACCATCACTTTCCCTCACTCTCACCACCACTTTCCCTCACTCTCACCATCACTTCCCTCACTCACCACCACTCTCCCTCACTCTCACCATCACTTTCCCCTCACTCACCACCACTTTCCCTCACTCACCACCACTTTCCCTCACCTCTCACCACCACTCACCATCACTTCTCCCCACCCCCACCCACCACTTTCCCTCACTCTCACCACCACTTTCCCTCACCTCACCATCACTTTCCCTCACCTCACCCACCACTTTCTCCCTCACTCCATCACTTTCCTCACTCACCACCACTCTCCTCACTCTCACACCACCACTTTCCCTCACTCTCACCACCACTCACCATCACTTTCCCTCACTCCCACCCTCACTACCTCCTCACTCTCACCATCACTTTCCCCTCACTCACCATCACTTTCCTCACCTCACCACCACTTTCCCTCACTCTACCATCACTTTCCTCACTCTCACCATCACTTTCTCCTCACTCACCACATCACTTTCCCTCACTCTCACCACCACTTTCCTCCTCCTCACCACATCACTTTCCCTCACTCTCACCACCACTCTCCCTCACTCTCACCATCACTTTCCTCACTCACCATCACTTTCCCTCACTCACCACCACTTCCTCACTCACCATCACTTTCCCCTCACTCACCACCAGCTCCCCACCTCACCATCACCTCTCTCCTCACCACCATCACTTTCACCACCACACTCTCCCCACCACCACCACTCTCCTCACCTCACCACCACTCTCCCCACCTCACCACCACTCTCCTCACCTCACCCACTTTCCTCACCACCACCTCACCTCACCACCACCTCCTCACCTCACCACCACTTTCCTCACCTCACCACCACCTTCTCCTCACCACCATCACTCACCACCACTCTCCTCACCTCACCATCACCTCCTCACCTCACCACCACTTTCCTCACCTCACCACCACTTTCCTCACTACCACCACTTTCCTCACTGTCACCATCATTTCTCTCACCACCACTTTCCTCACTCACCACCACTCTACCTCACTCTCACCACCACTTTCCCTCACTCACCATCACTTTCCTCACTGTCACTGCCATTTCCCTCACTCACCACCACTTTCCTCACTCACCGCCCGGGATCACTGACACCCACGTCTTGCATTCTGATTATGTATTAGTGGAGAGAGAGAGAGAGAGAGAGAGAGAGAGAGAGAGAGAGAGAGAGAGAGAGAGAGTGTGTGTACAATAAAGGCAAACAGAGAAAAGAGAGTGAACGAGAGAGAATGAAAGAGAGAGATAATATACAATAACGGTAGCAGAGAGAGAGAGAGAGAGAGAGAGAGAGAGAGAGAGAGAGAGAGAGAACGAAGGAGGAGGAGAGAAGAGAGAGAGAGAGAAGGAGGAGAGAGAGAGAGAGAGACATTAACAGCACCGTCAGAGGGCCAGTTGTGGTAGTCCCAGAAGAGGGAGAGAGGCACTCGACCCTCCTTGGCACTCTCCCTCCCACCTCACCCCCCTGCCCTCCTCCCTCCCCTTACCTGTACCTCCAGGTAACTAATGTCTAATTACGGTATAGTCTCGGTGCTATTTATCCGCCATTTTGAATCATCATTAGAGTCTCGTAAATTTTAAGTTTAGGTTAGGGAATGTGTTGGTCGTTGTCCACACACACACACACACACACACACACACACACACACACACACACACACACACACCACACACACACACACACACAACAACGGGCCTAAAATAAACGGGAGAGGACATAAGAACGTGTGACCCTTGTGTGGAGAAGAGTCGAATGTTAATGTGAACTCTCTCAGCTAGCCTCCTAAGGTGATTTCCTACCGGCACGTGACCAGACTAGGATGTGGCCCAGTACTGTGGTCACATTATCAATATTCGTGGTAAGGTAATGTGGCCACACTACCCATATAATGGTAGTAATGAATGGCCACACTACCATGTAAGTATACAGTAATGTACACACTACCCATATAAGTAGTACAGTTATGTGGCCATACTACCCATATGAGTGGTTCAGTTATGTGGCCACACTACCAATATACGTAGTACATTTATGTGGCCACACTACCCATATGAGTGGTTCAGTTATGTGGCCACACTACCAATATAAGTAGTACAGTTATGTGGCCACACTACCCATATAAGTAGTACAGTTATGTCCACACTACCCATATGAGTGGTTCAGTTATGTACACACTACCAATGTAAGTGGTACAGTTATGTGGCCTCACTACCCATATGAGTGGTTCAGTTATGGCCACACTACCAATATAAGTGGTACAGTAATGTGGCCACACTACCAATATAAGTAGTACAGTTATGTCCATACTACCATAATGAGTGGTACAGTTATGTGGCCATACTACCCATAATGAGTGGTTCAGTTATGGCCACACTCAATATAAGTAGCAGTTATGTGGCCACACTACCCATATGAGTGGTTCAGTTATGTGGCCACACTACCAATATAAGTAGTAGAGTTATGTGGCCACACTACCCATATGAGTGGTTCAGTTATGTGGCCACACTACTCACATGTGTGTGCGTGTATACAGTACCTGTGCGTATTTGCGAATATTCATGCTTTTGTGCCTGTGTGTGTGTGTGTGTGTGTGTGTGTGTGTGTGTGTGTGTGTGTGTGTGTGTTTGTATATAATGATGAGAGAGTTAGAGTCAGGTGGCCTAACAACACGAGACGACAGGCGATGGCGGCGGTGGTCTGTGTGGCGGCGGCGGTGGTCTGTGTGGCTGTTTGTGGCGGCGGGTGTCTCTATAGCAGTTTATGTTTGTGGTCCTGTTTGTGTGAGTGTTTGTGGCGGGCGGGAAGCGATGGGCCACACACCGCCACCTGCCTCCTGTTACCGTCAAGGTCAGTACCACTACATCACCTGCCTCCGTCCTGCCCCCCAGTGAGTTAGTTGACACGCTCCTCAACCTCCCGGGATTAGCTAATCTATCCCGTGTCCTGCTGAGCTAGATGGTATTCTTCCTCACCACACACGGGATTGGCTCACCTTGTCGCGATTATAGTGTTTACGGGTATAAATAACAACAGAACAACTTCCCTGTGTGTGTGTGTGTGTGTGTGTGCACGATATAATGGTCAACATGCTCGCCTTGTAAGCCAATGGACCCGAGTTCGATCCTCGGGCAGGGTGAAACTATGGGCAAGTTTCTTTACGCCATTTGCCTCTGTCTACCCAGCAGTAATTGGGGACCTGGATGTTAATCGATTTGTGAATCGTGTTCCGGGGTAATGGTTAGCCAGTGTAGTTGGGGAGTTGTCCGGTCTTCTCGGACTATTCCTTGACACTGGCTGTTGACGTCTAGATGGCCCTAGGGCTGACCAGCCTTCAACTCGAGGTACAACCATATAACAATAGTAGAAACTCATTGGTTGCTAAGTGCGTAACGTCACAACTCCCATAGCAACCAATGAATGAACAGTTACCAGTCACTAGTTGCTAAGTGCTGTACGTTATGACTCACTCACCAACCCATCACTGTTTTGTTGATGGATGAGCCATTCCTCCACTTCGCGGTGTTATTATCTTAAAGTTCACGAGTCAGGCAGCTCGATCCAGTACACCCAGACCCTCATATTTATTTATATTATATGTTAGCACCGCCGAGTCAACCTTTCAAGTGGTCACAAGCCAAGTGTACTAATGTAAGGCTGTGGGTGTTCACCTCGTGTGGAGTATTTCGTGACACACTCGCTTCACTACACAAACACAGGTACCGTATTGGCTCTATTGACATTTCCGACTTTTTGGGTTAGTTTATACACGACAACCTAGAGAGAGAGAGAGAGAGAGAGACCCCCCTTGCTACCTCCACCCATGCCCTCCTAGCCACCCCAACCAGCCCCCCTTGATAGTGCTTTTGTTGGTGTGTTTGCATTAACTGTCCAAAAGCCACGAAAAACAACACTAAATAAATGTTGTGTTTTGTACCCTCTCCACTTCCCCTTTTCCTTTTCCCCTCCCTTTCTCGTCTCCAAATACCAAGTAAATCAATAGGGGTTAGAGGCGTTGTTTGTTTGTCCACGGATCTTGTTTCTTTTTTTTCTTATTTTTTCAGGTCCTATCAGAATTTTTTCTTGGGGAAGGAGGAAGGAGGATGTTTTCTTCTGTGTATAGTGATTTAATGGCATGGTGGACGGTGTACAGTATAGTGTTGGAGTTGTGTGTGTGTGTGTGTGTGTGTGTGTGTGTGTGTGTGTGTGTGTGTGTGTGTGTGTGTGTGTGTGTGTTCTTTCTATATTCACTAGAAATGTCAATACAAAATGGTTTAATTCATTCTATTTAAATACTGTTTGTGAGTCTTGTGTATTTTATAGTTATATATTTATTTTATATTTTGAATGTTTTGATAGTTATCAGGTAAACTCAAAGGGACCCACGTTACTCAGGGACCCGTACACTCAGGAGGGACCCACGTACCCTCAGAGGGACCCACGCACCACGTACACCCAGAGGGGGACCCGTGCCTCCAGGGGACCCACGTACACTCAGGAGGACCCATGTAAACTCAGAGGACCCCGTACACTAAAGGGGCCCACATACACTCAGATGGGACCCAATAACACTAAGACCACTCAGAGGGACCCCGTGTACACTAACAGGGGACCCACGTACATTCAGGAGGGCCCCCGTACATCAGAGATTACCTCAGAGCCACGTACACTCAGTACATAGAGGGCACCCGTACATTCAAGAACACACGTACATTCAGGAGCACCCCGTACACTGAGAGGGGCCTCACGTGCATACAGAGGGCACCCGTACATTCAAAGCACCCTACACTCAGAGGGCCTCACGTACATACAGAGGGGCCCCAGTACACTAGAGGGGCCCACATGCATAGAGGGCACCCACGTACTTCAAACACCCACACTCAGGGTCCCCCACGTACATACAAGGGTGTCCACATGCATACAGGGGTCCCCACGTACCTTATTGGGCCATCCAGGGAGCCTGGGGTGGGGGGGTGGGTGTGGAGGCGTCGCTACCGCAGCATGACCTGGTGAGAGAGAGAGAGAGAGACTATGTTGAGAGACTATCTTTAATATTTAGAGAGAGAGAGACACTATCTTTTTTGAGAGAGGCTATCAATTTTAGAAGCGAGAGACTATCTTGAGAGAGACTATCTTTGTGGAGAGAGAGAGAGAGAGAGAGACTATCTTTAATATTGAGAGAGAAAGAGAGCTGTGTCAGCTTCTTCAATCAAATAAGATCATTAAGACTACTCTCTCCTCTCTCTCTCTCTCTCATTTTTTTCTCACTTTTTTTCTCTGTCTGTCTGTGTCATTCTGTTTATCTTTCTGTCTATCAATGGTAGATATTTATGTACCAGTGATGAACAATTTATTTTGAACATTTTGTACCAGTGAATATTTTGAATTTTGTACCAGTGATGAACTTTAATACTGATGAACAATTTTGACAATTTTGTACTGATGATGAACATTTTGAGCATTTTGTACCAGTGATGAATATTTTGAACATTTTGTCCCACAGATGAACAATTTTAACAATTTTTCCAGTGATGAACAATTTGAACATTTTTGTACCAGTGATGAACATTTTGAACATTTTTGTACCAGTGATGAACAATTTGAACATTTTTGTACCAGTGATGAATATTTTGAACATTTTTGTACCAGTGATGAACATTTTGAACATTTTTGTACCAGTGATGAACAATTTGAACATTTTTGCACCAGTGATGAACAATTATCCCACAGATGAACAATTTTGAACAATTTTGTACCAGTGTTAATAACTCAGACAAAGGTATAGGGAATAAAACAGACAATGATAAAATAAAGAAATAAAAAGACAGAATATAATAAAACTAAACAAAAGCAATAAAATAGATGGAAATAAAAGTCGAAGAAGAGGATGATAAAGGAGGAATAAAAAATAAAATAAGAAAAGTTTTAGTCAAGGAAAAACACGAGAGTGGAGGAGTTTAATGGCGTCTCTCCTCTCTCTCTCTCTCTCTCTCTCTGCGATGAAATAAAATAAAAAGAAAAGAAGAGAGACAGAAAGAAGAGATGAAAGAAAGAGATCAGCGTCTACAAAGACAGATTATGTTGGTGGGTCTGGGGAGGTGGAAGGGGAGTGTAAAGGGAAAAGAGGAGGGAGTGAGGTGGGGGTGTAAGGGAAGGGGAGGGAGGTGGTGGGGTGTAAGGGAGGGGAGGAGGTGAGGTGGGGTGTAGGGAAGGGAGGAGGTGAGGTGGGGTGTAAAAGGGAGGAGGAGGTGAGGTGGGGTGTAAGGGGAAGGGAGGAGGTGGGGTGGGGTGTAAGGAGGGGAGGTGAGGTGGGGTGAAGGGAAGGGAGGTGAGGGGAGGAGGGGTGGGGTGTAGGAGGAGGTGAGTGGGGTGTAAAGGGGAGGAGGTGAGGTGGGGTGTAAGGAAGGGGAGGAGGTGGGGTGGGGTGTAAGGGAAGGGAGGGAGGTGGGGTGGGGTGTAAAGGGAAGGGGAGGAGGTGGTGGGGTGAAGGGAAGGGGGAGGAGGTGAGGTGGGGGAAAGGGAGGGATGGAGGTGAGGTGGGGTGTAAGGGAAGGGGAGGAGGGGTGGGTGGGGTGTAAGGAAGGGAGGAGGTGGGAGGGGTGTAAAGGGAAGAGGAGGTGAGGTGGGGTGAAGAGGAAGGGAGGGAGGTGAGTGGGGTGTAAAGGAAGGGAGGAGGTGAGGTGGGGTGTAAAGGGAAGGGGAGGAGGTGGGGTGGGGTGTAAAGGAAGGGGAGGAGGTGAGGTGGGTGTAAAGGAGGGGGGAGGTGAGGTGGGGTGTAAAGGGAAAGGGGAGGAGTGAGGTGGGGTGTAAAGGGAAGGGGAGGAGGTGAGGTGGGGGGTGAGGAAGGGAGGAGGTGAGGTGGGGGTAAGGGGGGGGAGGTGAGGTGGGGTGTAAGGGAGGGAGGAGGTGAGGTGGGGTGTGGAAGGGGAGGAGGTGAGGTGGGGTGTAAAGGGAGGGAGAGGAGGTGGGGTGGGGTGTAAGGAGGGAGGGAGGTGAGGTGGGGTGTAAAGGGAAGGGGAGGAGGTGAGGGTGGGGTGTAAAGGGAGGGGGAGGAGGTGAGGTGGGGTAAAGGGAGGGGAGGAGGTGAGGTGGGGTGTAAAGGAAGGAGGAGGAGGTGGGGGTGTAAAGGGAGGAGGTGAGGTGGGTGTAAAGGAGGGGTAGGAGGTGAGGTGGGTGTAAAAGGAAGGGAGGAGGTGAGGTGGGTGTAAAGGAAGGAGGAGGGAGGTGGGGTGTAGGAAGGAGGTGAGGTGGGGTGTAAAGGGAAGGGGAGGAGGAGGTGAGGTGGGGTGTAAAGGGAGGGGAGGGAGGTGAGGTGGGGTGTAAAGGAAGGAGGAGGTGAGGTGGGGTGTAAAGGAGGAGAGGTGAGGTGGGGTGTAAAGGGAAGGGAGGAGGTGAGGTGGGGTGTAAAGGGAAGGGAGGAGGTGAGGTGGGGTGTAAAGGGAAGGAGAGGTGAGGTGGGGTGTAAAGGGAAGGGTAGGGAGGTGGGGTAAAGGGAGGGGTAGGAGGTGAGGGGTGTAAAGGAAGGGAGGAGGTGAGGTGGGGTGTAAAGGAGGGGTAGGAGGTGGGGTGAAGGGAAGGGAGGAGGTGAGGTGGGGTGTAAAGGAGGAGGAGGTGAGGTGGGGTGTAAAGGAGGGGAGGAGGTGAGGTGGGGTAAAGGGAAGGGGAGGAGGTGAGGTGGGGTAAAGGAAGGGAGGAGGTGAGGGGTGTAAGGAAGGGGAGGTGAGGTGGGGTGTAAAGGAGGGGAGGAGGTGAGGGTGTAAGGAAGGGGGAGGTGGGGTGTAAAGGAAGGAGGGAGGAGGGGTGAGAAGAGGAGGTGGGGGGGTAAAGGAGGGGTGAGGTGAGGTGGGTGTAAAGGGAAGGGAGGAGGTGAGGTGGGGTGTAAAGGAAGGAGGAGGTGGGTGGGTGTAGAGGGGAGGAGGTGAGGTGGGGTGAAGGAAGGAGGAGGTGAGGTGGGGGTAAGGAGGAGAGGAGGTGGGGTGTAAAGGGAAGGGCAGGAGGTGAGGTGGGTGCTAGTAGGGTCGGGGTGAGGGGTGAGAGAGAGTTATAAATTATATATTTAAGGGAAGAGTTAGATGGGTGAGGGGAGGATAAGGAAAGGAGGCAACGTGAGGGAGGGGATGGGGGAGGGGAGGTGATGTGTGAGGGGAGGGAGGATGAGGGGTGAGGGGGAAGAAGATGTTAAGCCCAAGATATACATCAGGCTTATGGAGGGATGGAGGAGAGAGAGAGAGAGAGAGAGAGAGAGAGAGAGAGAGAGAGAGAGAAGATGAAGAAGGTAGGGAAGAATGTAAAGAAGACAGAAGCAGGAAGGAAGGAAGGAAGGAAGGAAGGAAGGAAAGACTCCGGCACTAACACCCCCTCCACCCCACCCCACCCACACACTGACACTCATTCACTTTATCAAAGACGTCGTGTCTAGTTAAGGTCAAGTCTCTCTGAAATTCCGACGCCATTTTGCCCCCATCATCTTTGTATGTATGTATGTATGTATGTATGTATGTATGTATGTATGGATGTTACAGAGATACTTTTTTATATTTCCAGTTAGTGTTAAGTAAACGTGTCTAGTAAAGATCTAGTCTCAGTGTAAATTTGATATAATTTTATTTATTTATTTACTTATTTACTTATTGTTATTATTTTTTTTTCATTTATTTTTTATTTTAATTTTTTATTTTTTTTTATTAATTTATTCATTTATTTAATTTTGCAGACGTGGCGAGAAGTGACGGTGTATGGACCTGTATGGTGAGTGTACAAGACGGTGTATACGTATTTTGTAGTGTATAGAACTAATACTGTATTTTGATGTATAATGTATAGTGATGTATGGTGGTTATATGTACAGTATATTGTGATATTGTGTATGGTAAGTATTCAAAAATGACTCGTATGGTGTATATCGTGTTTATCAATTTACGAATGAAGTATTTACAGTCCTAATTTACAAACTGTTTATACACCTGTTTTCGTGTATAGTGCTATTGGTGTATACTTGTATAGTGAGGTGTATGAAAACAGTCTCTCATACACCGTTAACAGTCTCAACAGAACCGTTTTACTGTTGATGTAAATAAAGATGGTAATTAGGGAGAAATTTACACTCGTTGTTTGCTTGTGAAGTAAACAGTTTATTAACGAGTTCTCATAACGTCATCTCTGAGTAACTGTTTGTGTACTTAAATGAGTTTGCGGGTTATAATGTGTGTGTGTGTGTGTGTGTGTGTGTGTGTGTGTGTGTGTGTGTGTGTGTGTGTGTGTGTGTGTGTGTGTGTGTGTGTGTGTGTGTGTGTGTGTGTGTGTGTGTGTGTGTGTGTGTGTGTGCACGTGTCAGTATTTACATCTACTTCCGCTTCCTCATACCCTTTAAGAGGCGGTGTGGATATAGCACACTGAACACTAACCCTCAAGTATACAGGGGGGGAAAAAACATAGTCGAAATTGTAGTCTTATTTATCTCCTTTTTACTTCCTCGGTCATAAAATTTAGTGCCCACTTCTTCAGTTGGGTCGACTAGGGGCGCCCCCCCACCCTCGCACTGCCTAGCTGCATATGAGATGACGTTCAGGGATCTATCGTGTTTTCGACTTTGTGTGAACCTATAAAACTCTAAAAGGATAATATTATGGTCACATTGGTGTTGATATAGTGGGGTTGAGCTATTACAGTAGTCTGAAATTTTAAGACTTTTTCAAGGCTTTTTCAAGACTTTTCCAAGGCTTTTTCAGGCCTTTCAAGACTTTTCCAGGCTTTTCCAGGACTTTTTCAAGATTTTTCAAGACTTTCAAGACGTTTTCATGGCTTTTTCAGGACTTTCAAGACTTTCCCAGGCCTTTTCGGGACTTTCAAGACTTTTTCCAAGATTTTCCAAGGATTTCCAGAACTTCAAAGAAAAGACTTAGCCTCGACTTCCAAAATACTGAAAGGAATCGTCTCAAATTTCCAGGATTTTCCAGGACTTGTAAGAACCCTGAAGTGATGATCCAAACGTCATTTTGGTGGTTAATGT